CCTTCGAGAAAACCTATTTTGCTGAAATGAGTCTCTGGCAATGGACAATACGACTATGAATGAGGTTATGCCAAAGACAAAAGTATAACGAAAACAGGGAGACAAACGTCCGCATGTAAAGAGAATCCGACATTTCATACGCACCAACCTAATATTAAACTAATATCTAATTGAGACTGAAATTTCTACTCTTATTTTAACTCATTATTGTACGTATCAGAAAGAGATGATAACAATACACATTTTCTCTTTTTTAAAAATTCTTCTTCTATTGTTGACACGATACGATTAAAAATATCCTTATGGAAATTACGATTTTTATGCCAAGATGTACATGGAATGTCTGAAACTACTTTATTATAATCATGTAAATATCTTAGCTCACACAAATGATGATAAAAAATTTTTCTATTTGTAGATTTTAAACGATTAATTTTCTGTAACAACTCATCATTATTGAGTTTCTCCATCCACTCAATGATTTTTTCATCAAATTTTGCATTGTTTGACGAATGAAGATTTTGTTGTCTACCCTTATTCTGGCAACGATCTTTATCACAAAAAAACAAACTTTTTTAAGTTGTCGACCTGTTTCAATATCTTCAATTTAAGTGTCAGAAATTTCATTACAAACGGTATTTTCGTTGATATTTAAATCACAAGTAAAGCTGGAAGCAACACCTCCTAACGTTGTCTGACTATCTAAACTTGAAGAGGCAACCTCCCATCCGATCTCACTGTTTGAGCCATAATTTGTTTTTGACGATAAATCATCGTATTTTGCCATTGAAGGTATAAAATTATTGTAACTTTGTCTATGATATCCACCTGTGTTATATACTTGTGTAGGCAACTCGGTGTCATTGTACTTTAATTTATATTTCACACGTATTTTCAAAACTTCCTGGCATTTCTTTAGTTTTTCACCCAAGAAAATTACTATTTCATCATTTTTCCCTTTGCAAAAAACACATCTCATTTTATCACTGGCCATTGTTACAAAATTTAAAAATAATTTTTAATAATGTACTTTTAATTTCCTCCTTTGTAACTCAATTTTATTCTAATTTTATTTTATTTTTTATGTTAAAATTTTTTTATTGGGATTTGTAGTTTTGTAATGATTTTTTATCTCCTTTATCAGCAATATATTCTGCTTACAACACGAACATAAACATGTAACTTTAGTTCGCGCGCACTATATATTATGCTGACGCGAATCCGTTTCAAACTAGCATACCGTTATTAAGATGCAATTATACGTGAATGTACGGAAAGTCTCACGACGGTAAATTGATACAGTGTAAGTGGTTTTGTAGTATACTAAAGGCACTTCTTTACAACAATAATTTATTAACTCGAGTCTTACAATTGTACGATGTGGTCTGTATAAATGTATGATGTATAACAGACAATGTGTATTACAGATAAGAGTACTTAATGGACAGAACGCTTCTTACGTTATTTCAAGGGTTTTATACATAAGTTAGTTACACCCCTTTGGAGAGGGAAGAACTTAAATGGGACTTATTGGCCAATAGTAGAAGGGTCCACCCATCAGGATCTCCCGAAGGAAAATCTTATGTTTCTGGGAAAKGGAAACAATGCATAAAGAAGCATGATCTAAAATATCGGAATGTTACTTTTCTTATGGTATATCGCATATGTTTACATAGGAATCTGAAATTCTTCAAAGGGTCCCGACACTATATAAAGGGTTTTCATCGCACCATATGTTCCTTTGATCATTGAGATAGTTTGGGAATTTATGGCCCTTTGGAATTTCTTAATCTATACGTAAAAAATAMCTTATATCTGCTGCCTATCGTATTATATGATATTTTATTTCATAGGCTTATCGCASGTTCTGTTTCACAGAAATTGAATATTATAAAAAATAACAAATATAAAGTTTATCGTCTACAAAAGATTTGTGGTACTGAAAAACATCTTGTAAACTTGTCAGTTGCACCACCGTGGCTGTCTATCTCTTTTGCACTCTGAACTGTCTCTCTCTAACTATAGCATTATACTGCAATACTTTTCATAAGTTTGTYGTTCTTATTCTAGGTTTAACAAGCGAATAAACACTTGGCAAATTAATTTTAGGTTTCTGTATACTTAMATAAAATAATAATAAAATTACATGGATACCAAGATACTTTTAATTTTTTATTTAAAAAAACGAAAAATTGCATATGGCAGATATTTAGCAATGAGAAAAGTGCATAGCAATAAAAAATTTATGTTTGATAAATCTATCTAAAGTCAATAAATAGAAAATAAGGCTTCTCAACATTCTTTTAAAATCTAGGATTATTACCTGTACAGGTAGGATGCGCACTAGTAAACGTAAGACCTACGGCCAACCAAGTAGTGCAGGTTCTAACCGAAAGATCAAGAAGAACGACATATCAAAAAATCAGCTWATCCCAAATTATTATTTTTCCGACGCTGCTAGCTCCCGGACTAGCTTGTTCTAACGAGACTCYAATTAATGAATTCCATCCCTAAAGTGTGAATCTKGAAGGGCTGCAAAATACGCTTCCACAGCTGTAATGAWCTCATCTTTTAATGAAAAACGCTTTCCMCGCATGATTTCTTTTATGTCTGAAAACAGATTAAASTCGCTAAGGACCAAATCTGGTGAATACCGTTGATGCTCAAATATTTCGAACTTTAATTCATGGATTGTATCCATTGTCAAAATGCTCTTGTGACACGGTGAATTGTCCTGATAAAAAAGAATTATTTTCTTCTGCAAACCGGGTTTTTTTTTTCAAAACGAGTTTTTTCCTTCAGCTGGTCTAAAAGGTTACTATAATATTAGRAATTTATTGCTTTACCAGTTTGCAAGTAATCCACAAACACAATTCCTTTCGCATCCCAATAAACGGATGCTAACACCTTCTTGGCCGATTTTTGGACACAAACTCGTTTCGGAGCCAAAGAACCAGATTCAAACCACTCTTTAGCCTCTTGTTTTGATTCAGGATCATTGTAATAGACCTTAGTCTTATCCATAGTGATGAATGGACGCACAAAATCCACTTTATCCTTTTGAAAACGCTCTAAATGCTGCTGGGAAAGTCACATTCGAATGTGATTTTGTTCCATTGTTAACGAATGCGGCACCCATTGTGCACACAGCTTTCTGAAACCCAATACTTCAGTCAAAATATTACTTCCACTGCATAATGAGATGCTTAGGGCTTCTACTAAATCTCTTTCAGTCACTCGATGATTTTYCAATACAATATCCTGTAWTTTTTCTGCGATTTCCGGTTTTGTTGCTGTTTTTGGAAGTCCTTGACATGGATTGTCTTCAAGGCTTGTACGACCACGCTTAAATTCAGCAACCCATCTTTCTACTGTACTTATTAAAGCCAAATAGTCC